CCAATTTGTCCGACATTTAAATACATGACAAATTGGACATTTATGACATTTTGAATCTGTCATGATTGTCATCTTTGTCATATATGTCACAAATTTAAATGTCTGACAAACTTGACATTTAGGTCATGTCAATATGTCAATTCGTCAATGACATGTCATAACGGCGCATCCCTACTGTCACATACGGTTAGAAATCTGGTATACATAGTAAAAAAGACCTGACTCTCTTAATTCGACTTGCGACCCTTTCAACCTCCAAATCGTGCCCTCGAAATAATCTTTTGAAAACTGGCCATTTGTTTAATTTCATGTTAATTGTTGAGTATGAACGACAGCTGAGACGTAGTTTTTCGTCAACCCAACGGTTAATGAACCATGCTAAGTTGTTGCGCATAAATTTATTGTCCGTTTACTCGATAACATTTGTGTATACATAACCGATAGGATTGTTGATTTGTTTGAAGTGTGAATAAACGATATGCTTAAGTTCCTCAAAACCCATTAACCAATCCGCTTATGGATGATAATGATGAGATGTCGATGCCGACGATGACCGGGTGACGTGATGGTGCTGGTATGGAATAAGAGGTGGATTTCCAAAATGAATCTCAAGACGGAAGTTCAGGTTGTTCTCCTCCAGAGTTTTTATTACACTCTAAATAATTTGGAGACAAATTGTCACCCCCTGGAGGTACTATGGTGCACCATTTTCCGGTAATGATTTAGGAGATAATTTGTCACCAATGGGAAATATGGCAAAAATTCCTGTGTCAAACACGCGTGACGTCGTCATTTACAAAATTCAATTCTTTTGTGTAAACAAAATCCTGTATTCAGATAAAAATATTCATTTTTTTAAGTAACGACGTCACGTGTTTTTGGTACACGAGTTTTTGACTTATTTCCCAATGGTGACAAATCATTTCCGAAATCATTACCAAGAAATAGAGCACCATAGTACCTCCGCGGGTGACGATTTGCCTCAAAATTATTTACAGTGTACCACTGAGCGTGAGATACAAATGAAATACATATTTAACGGAGAGCACACCGTACTTTACAAATGCGGAGAGGAGCTAGTAGCTCGCATGAGATTACGCAGACAGCTGCCGTCACCATAGGTACATGCATTTGTAGTCACGCAGATATTGATTTCCGGTATAAAAGTAGCTACCGCTAAGAATTAAACTTACACGCTCGCTAAAAAATTTGCTGCAGATAGGGTAAAACATTAATACCTAGGTATTACTACGTCGTATTATGTATTTGTTACTATATTTTTTATCATGTACTGCCTTTGTAAAAATTTGCTCCTTTCTGGGCCCGAAGAAGCCGAGAAAAAAGATTAATAAATCAAATCAATAAATCAATTACCATATTCTTCGAGGCATATTACTATGAGGTTCAACGAAACGGCATTCGAGGCAGAATATACTGCTTCCGTAGAGATATGTACGGGCTAGAAAAATACCATTGTATAAACTTTGAAAGAACAAAAAAAACTCAAATTTTTCAGGTGTAGGCATTACCAAGTTCAACGTAGGAAGCTATGACGGTTACCAATACAATATAGACACCGCAATTTCAGTAATATTATGATGAAATTGCGGATCTGTTTTCTACGCTTATTTTCCACTATTGGTGCAAAATTATGGCAAAACTATATAAATATTTCCTTTGTCGGCTTATGGCGACGTCCATTAATTACGTAACGCAAAATAATGAAAAAATGTGCTTCCCTGCTTCAACGTCACGCTGCCATAACGCAAATCTAACTAATGCTTCCTTTTGGTGAACGTAACGTAACGCAACATGAAGGTGCTTCAGCTACAACATTAGTTAATTTATTCCCACTAAATTGTGCTTTTCATTGCATCCATTAACTCTATTTCTAGTATCCGCTAATTTAAAGGAGGATAAATTATATTAGGAACCATCAATTGAGCCGACTAAGGTGCGTCGTCATTAGCCCATGGGCTTGAAAAACGGCGATCTGCAGGCAGGGCATTGTATATGCTGTGGTTGGAAGGCTCCATCGAGAAATCAGAATATATTTCTCCTTCTACTTCATCCTCCTGAACCCAGTCGCAATGTTCTTCAGTCTCAGAACCTTCAATACTTTGTTTCCAAATTAACATTAACTCCCGTTGCCGCCGGGCAGCTACACGAACGGGTTGTATACGTCTTGGTGCAATCAGGCTGGCTGGCTGACAGAGCAGAATAATTCTGCATTTCTTCTATAGATCAAATTTCACTAAAAATCTCATTTTGCATTTTGCAAATGATGTTAAGAGCTGATTTTTGGGGAGAATGTCGCCATTCCGAGTGTTCGCGTTAAATTTGTGATTCTGCCAGAATTATAACGGTGTTTGTGTAAATATTTTTCATTCATGAATTAAGACATCTTAGGGCCCGTTCATATATTACGTCATCAAAAAACCTGATTTTTCGACCCCCCCCCCTTTGTCAACAATCGTCATCATTTGCTTTACCCCCTCCTCCCACCCTAATGTCGACGTAAACTTTATTTCAAACTGGGGAAACGAGTGAAAATTTTTAAAGAAACCAAAGAAGAAATAGAAGAGTTAAATTTTTGTGTCGAAGTCGGGGAAGAATTTCGCTCGATGCAGCAAATCTAATTTTGCTCCAACAAAAAAGTTGACGTCAACATACCCAAACCCCTCACTCCCTCGCTGCTCGAGCAAATCGTCAACATTTGCTCGACCCTATCCCCACGTCGTCCTTAATACCTTCTGTGTACAGTTGATTAAATGGATACAAAACCCAATAGGTTGGGGCGGGGATTAAATCTCTAAACAATTGTATAATATTTTTATTATTTGTTGGTTTACACTACGTGGTAACAATGTTCTCTGAGGTCTTGGTAACAGGTGGAAGGAATAAATTGTTGGTTTGATTGTGAGCGCGGTGTAAAATCCCAAAATTGTCCCACTGTGAAACATTCGACCATTGGAGATAAGGAACATTTCCAAACTTTTTTACTGCATATACCAGGATTTTGTAGGCATTTAGACCTAAAACTTCTCCGAAAGAGGTATGCTTGAACTGGTTTTCAATTTTTATCCAAACTATGTCGTTTGGTTGGGGTAAAGCTATATTTGCAGATAAGTAATACTCAAACTTAATAAAACTGATTTTGCAATTTGGAATTCGGATTTTACACATGGAGGTTCATAAGGAGAGCGAAACGTACGCAGTGAAATTAGAATGACTGGGTGAAAGTAAGAATTAACATGTTGGAGTAAAGTGTTGCTGATTTTGTGGTAAAAAATCTGGACTTCACAATAGGACGAAAGGTATGCTGATATAATCTGAACTTGTGCATAAGATATTCTGGTATAACTGACGCGGGAAAAATATCATGAACACTTTTACCCTTGTCGGGCCCGATAGGTACATTGTAATTTCTACTCGTCTTAGACAGATTGTTAATAATTTGTGATTTTACGTGGATGACATCAGTAATACGTCTGAATATTTATCTGCGGACAATTTACAGCAATAGACAGCAATACATTGATAATCAATTTTTACATATTTTGCACGTGTAGTGGGAGTCACATTTGGTGTACATTAAGGGGTGAATCCTCTTTATAAGATTGATACGTCCGTTCGTCCGTCTGTCCACGCGATAACTCAAGAGCGGTTTAACATATTGACTTTAAATTTGGAATATAAATACCTTATGATTGTAATCTGTGCATAGTGTGTGACAGACCGTGAAAATAAAAATAAAGCGAAAATTGGTAAACAAATACGAGGCAATCAGGAAATTTAATCGAAGGCGTAATAAATTTTAAATTTCTTTTGTATTTAAATAGATATGTAAGCATGAATAAAAAATTTCTTTCGGTACTGAAAATATTCAAAATCTGATTGAACAAAGAGACAGTTAACAGTTAAAATGATAACGTAGTCGAGAATTTCCTGACAAACACTGCTTTGAGGTTGTTGTAGCTGGAAATGATTCGACGCGATGTGATATGACTAGAAATAAATTTAATATTCTTTCTTTACAAAAGTCGATATATAAATTTAGAACCACGAACAATTTCTAAATTGCGTGTTTGTATTTCATCCGGATTGTCTATCAGCTCAACGAGAAATCAACAACGGAAGAATTCCAAGCTCTAAAAAGTGACCGCACGAGGGTATGACTCCCATTCCCTTTTTTTCCGCATGGATACAATAACTAACAAGGGAGCCCGGAGTATTGCAACTCATGGATTCCTTTCCAGATGTTCTTAATGTACTGATAATTTAGTGAAACTGAATCTTTAGCGTTTTCTCCAAATTTTCGGAGAGAACTGGGCCACAACGTGCACCTAGGGCTGCCAAATCCGGATACTCCGAATTCGAAAATTTCCGGATTTTTCGGATTTCGGATACTTTGAAATCCGGATTTCATTTAGAAACGGATTTCCCTAACTTAAAGATTCATATTTTTTTCGGATGTGAAGATACAAATCTTTGCGAGAATTGTGAATTTAAACAAAATTAGCATGCTATTCATTCCAAATCATTATTAGTTAGTTTACCATATCCGTCATCAAAAACCCACTTTTCCGAAGTTCAAATTGTTTTCAGTTTATGAACTGAGAAAAATGTCCAGATATTACCTGCATCGTCAGAAAATTTTGAAAAGAGTGAAACTTCTAAAAACGCGGAGATTGCAATTGAATTTGATAATTCAACTATTTGACATCTATATGATTCGTTAAAATATCAAGGAAATAAATAATAACAATAAATAATTCAAGTCCGGATTTAAATCCGGATTTGGGTCGAAAGAAAAACGGATAATCCGAAATCCGGATTTGAAAATTCGGAACGGATTCATCAGCCCTGCGTGCACCCAAATCGGTAAAATTATAAATCAAATAATGATACTAATCAATGAAATAATAATGAAACACGGTTGTCGAAAATTTTAAATTGTTTCAATTTATTAAACATTTTACCCAATTTGTTGACCTGAATGAAATAAGTTTGTAACTGCATTATTTCCCACAACTGTCGGGCGCCCATGGGACTTCGGGTAAATCATCGATTTTGAGCCCTCGCGTGAAATTGGTGGTCCCCTGCGCACCCTCGTCGAGATATCGAATGTTATCCATGTCTGCAAATTCCAGGGTAAGGTTCGTCATTCCGAGTTGGTTTGTCCAACTCATCATCCAAAAATCAGAGTCCCACTCGGCAATGGAGAACGTTGACTCGGACACTTGAACCAGCCAGGCCAGCCCCCATTTTCCATATTCCCAGTACAGTTGTGGGACTCCGGCAGAGTTGTTTTTGAAGGAAATGGTCATCTCACCTGATTAATTGAAAAAGATGTCATTGGTTAGTATATGCAGGGAGAAAATTCAGACCTGGGATAATATGGATTTTAATCTGTAATCAGACAGTGAGGTTTTTTAAAAATTAATCCTAATCAGGGTAAGGAAAACCCCGGGGTTTTGCTATTGAAAACCCATACCCAGGGGTTTTACTTGGGTTTTGCGGATAGTCGGGGTTTTTTAAGGGTAAACTGAGTCAGTGTCGCATGTATTAAGGTTTAACAAAAATCTACTTTTTCACCAATTGCGCAACAATTCTGCTTGTTAATTTATTTGAATAAATAATTAATTTGTAGAATTGATAGCAGTGCCCTGTTATCACACTTTATTAAATTCGAAAACCCCGAATACCCGTGGGTATTGCTCATTTTTGATACCCCAAAACCCACCAATACCCGCAATACCTCAAAAACCCGGGTAGCATTCCCTGATCCTAATCCATACTCCCAATTTTTCTGCAATTGGAATTAATCCGGGAATAATTCCTTTAGATGTCATTAATCCATAATCTTGATTATGTATTCACGATTAATCCGCAATCTGGATTACCCGGTTCACTTCATTTCATCACACTGTGTAACTTGACGTCTCAAGTTCTCACAGCTGTGTCCTGCCATCTACCATTTGAAGAGTCAACATGTTCTCGCCGCCTCGTCCTTTATCAAGTGACATTGGGGTTTTAAATATTTTAATGTGCAACCACGTATTTTAAGTTTGTTGTGCTAGATATAGTTTAAAGAAATCATTAATCACAAAATTAATTAGGATTACTACTCCATAAGTCCTGCAAGTTTTATAATTTATGGATTAATCCAGACATGAATTAATCTCACGAAAATAATTTAATTACAACGCACATTCTTTTGTGGTTAATCCATAATCCTTAATCCACCCTTAAAAATTATTAGTCCCCCAGCTCTGGGTAAATTTGACGTTTGTTTTTAATTTATTTACCATTGAACCCACTTCCATAGGTACCGACGGCTTCGTCCGGTGAAATTCTTGCTGGGCTATTCGTCTCCTGATTTCCGGTCGGAATCCGTGACAAAACTGCCAACGGTGTCAAGTCGATTGGAGCAGCGGTATATCCATCAAAGCTGCCCACACCCTGCGCAACTGCCCCTGGTTACATATTTATTGTGCAATTTCATTACACACATGTGTTATCTTTGGCACGAAATTATTTAATGGAACACCTCCCGGGTGAAAATCACGTGTTGAATTTGACATAATTCTGCACATGTGGCGGGTTTGTGCAAAAAAATGTGAACAATTCTGCATAAAACTTCTGACCGGTATATTCTACAGAAAGTTTTAGAACAATTATGCATAATTCTGCATACTTTGTGGACAAGTTGTTTCTGCATAAAATGCAGCCAATTCTATGCATAAAATCCCTTAAATTTTTCACCCGGGGTGCTTACTACACTGCGAAAAAAAGTTGAGTGAAATTGCCACCAGGACAACTATTGAGTAAAATTTACCCCGCCAAAGGTAAAATTTACCCCGCCAAAGGTAAAATTTACTCAAGGTTGAGCAAAAATCTCGCAAAGCTGGATAAATTTTCACTTTTGTTGGGCAACTTTTACTCAATAGTGGTCTTGGTGGCAATTTCACTGAAACCTGAGTAAATTTTACTCAAATTTTTTTAGAGTGTAAGAAATGTGTGTTAGTAAGTACAAATGCTAGTTTTTTATATCTACATACCCCGCAATATTTCAAAAAGCTCGGCCTGAATCCAGGAGTTGGGCATGGATGTCGCGTACAAAGTGCCAGGACCGCTCATGGCCATAAACACTCCAAGTCCTAGGTCAGGATACAAGGTCATAAGACTTTCAAAAGGGGGAAGATACCCGCCATGCCCGATTCGTAACCAGCCATCGTAAACTCCAATGTCCAGACAGAGGCCGTAGGCAAGGTTCAGGTTTATAGTTGAGTCGGGATTGTTTTCAGATTTTAAGGTGCCAGAAGGCGTCAGAGACGACGGTGCGTATAACCAGTTCATTACTTCCTAAAATTCATATAATCATGATTTATAAGCATAAAAATGTCGTATTAAAGTACACACTCTAAAAAAATTTGAGTAAAATTTACTCAAGCTTGAGTGAAATTGCCACCAGGACAACTATTGAGTAAAAGTTGTCTAACAAAACTGAAAATTTATCCAACTTTGAGAGATTTTTGCTCAACCTTGAGTAAATTTTACCTTTGGCGGGGTAAATTTTACTCAATAGTTGTCCTGGTGGCAATTTCACTCAACTGTTTTTGCAGTGCACTTTTAGAAATGGGGTTACGATTATAGCCAAAACGTAAACGTATGTGACGCTATCGCCGTGGTTTGTCATCAAGTGGTTACAATTTTCTCCGACTAATTATAACGTTACAACGACTTGGTATTAAATTGTCACCAGAGCTAATAAATTTATAACCAGTTGGTGACAAACTCATAACCACGGCGGTTGAGTCGTATACGTTTACTTTTTGGTTATAATCGTAACCCCATTTCTAAGAGTGTACTTAAGTACAATTGATTATACAATCTTAGAAATAATTTTACTTTTTTGAAAAGTAAATGCACTCTTTACTCCATATGAAGTAAGGTTTAGTGCACATCAAGTAAGCGTTACTCTGGATTTAGTAAACTTTATTTCAAATGGAGTAAAAAGTGCATTTACTTTTCAAAAAAGTAAAATTATTTCTATGAGTGTAAGATTGCTGGCCATATTGTTTACCGCAGGAACAATTTGGTTGTCCCCAACTTTTCCGAGGTTTAAATGAAACTGCATATATTTGGTCATATCGGTCGCCGAGCTCAAAATCCCACCGGCCGCATTGACAAGGACGACACCCCTGTTGCAATTAACGATAAGTTAAATTATGATGATACAAACAATTCGTCCAGTATGATGTACTCTAAATCCACGTAGGATTGAACTTTTACAGAAATTGAGAATTCTGAGGAACCACGCCGCTGCCAGTCTCAAACTTCTTGATTGAGAGATTGAGACTGACGTGGCATAGTTTCTCAGAATTCTCAATTCAGAGTACTAACTTCATCAGTTCTGGATTGTAACGATTAAGGACGCCATCTTTCCAGTAGTAGGGCACCGCCCGGTGCATCATATTATTGTGATCGTCACTTTCTTTGACCCAGGTCGTGTTCGTCATTCCAATGGAGTCAAGTAGGTCGGAAAGCTATATGCATCAGACAAGTGGACGTAGGGAGTTACATGTCAGTGTCAACGGAATAAATGTCATGTCATGTGATAAATCAATTTCTTGTCATAGATGTCACAGCATAAAAATTTATGACATTTATGACAACTATGAGTGACATTTATGACATTTCCATATCCATAATCAGGATTAGGGATTACTAATCCAGATTAATCGAAATCCTGATTACTCTATTTATGATTAATCCTCAATCTGGATTACTTGATTCATTGGTTACGAATTAGCATACAAAAAAATTAGAAATGTTACCATGTCTTCATACGTAGAGTTTGCCAGGTGTGCAATTATATCTCCGGCCATTGCGATAAGGCCGTTATTGTAAAGATAACCATTTCGAAGTGAGCAGTAATTGTATGCGTATCTTTGCCGGCTAAACAAAAAAATTAAGTGAAACCCAAGATATACTCGAAGTTTCGTTTACTAGGGAAACTTCTAAGGTGCCGCTCGAATCCAGGGTTCCCACATGCACAAATTGAACACAATATACGACTTATGACGCAAAGTGAAGGAATTTACTTGCAAAAATCACTCTTCGTCAAGTCGTGACGATATTTGTGGCGAGCGTGGGACAATGTGGGCGAAGAGGAAAAATGAGTGAACGAGTGAGAATTAGAGATCGTTGACCTTCACAAAGCGTAAGTGGCTCGTTGACTCGCTCCACCTCTTCGCCCCCACCGCCGTACGATCGTCACAAATATCGTCACGAGTCGTGACTCACGATTTGACCAATAGTGATTTTGTAAGTAAATTCCTTCACTTCGCGTCACAAGTGCTCATTTTGTGGGAACCCTGGATCCGACCGGCACCTCGGAAGTTTCCTTGGTTAGATTAAGGCCAGATTTCTCTTACTAAAAGAAGTCCCTCGAATCGTTGAAAGTCTGCACCCACATTCCCGTATACTGTGGCAAGTAACAAGCCCTATGGGCCAGCAGGTCACGGAAGGTCACGGCCTCGGATCGATACCTGTCACCTAGAACAAAATCATAACTTGGCGCCAACGTTCGGATCGGCGTGTCCAGTACGGATTGCCCCAATTGAGGAAAGTTTTCATCCAGAAATTTGACCGCAACTAGTGCAGTGAAGCTTTTAGTTATTGATCCGATGGAAAATAGCGTGTCAGGATCGGCGGGTAGTTGGTTTTCCCGGTCTCTCTGGCCATACCCGGTTTTGTAGAGGAGTTCCCCGTTATTTTTAATTATGGATAGCGCCAAGCCCGGCACGTGTTGCTCACGTTCGAGATGAGCAAGTCGATTTGATTCTGGGTTTCGGGTGGGATCACGTTTTGTGTGGAGATGATGGGGATGATAAAAATGGGGGCGAAATAGATTAATGGGAATTTAATGGAGATATCCATATCAATCAATTATATATTTATACGCCCCAAGGAAATAATACATTCACCCAAGAAAAAACTGAATTTTTCCCAATAATACAAAAGCTAATTTTTTCACCCAATCAAATAGTAAATTGACCCAATTATATATGGAATTAACTGTTTGCAGTTAAATCCACCTGATTGACAGTGGAGATTAATTGATATTGCTGATTTATCATCCGCGTCAATCATTTATAAAGGGTTTGGTGACCTCATTAATAACATGTTGATTTGAATATTCTGGTAATTGATTTGAGATAAAATGTGTGGCGGCTTGTTTAATTTTGAGCGTACAAGCAACAAGTTCCATTAACACCAGGATCCGTTCTAGGTGTTGACAACCCCATAGGGCGCCAACTTTTCTGGGGCGCTGGAAGGCGCCCCGTGAAATATACATACACTCTTAGAAAACTGGTATGAAATCATTACCGGCCGGAGTACATATGTGACTCTACCGGCATCGGTAACAACGGGAATTACCGTTCAGTAATGTTGTGGTAATGAAAAATTTACCACTCTGGAACAAACTACTACAGTCCGGTAATAAGTTTATTACCAAGTCAATACCAGCACGGAGTATCTATGTGACTCTACCAGATTTTTAACAGTGTATTCAGTTCGCAGAAAATTCAAATTTGCGCAAAATTATATATGTTGTATTTTTATAAGGTTTTTTTATCGTAGAATGTGCTTTCGGGCGCCAACATTGGGGCGCCACGTTGCTTAGCACGGGTTCTGAATAACACGTTAAAAACAATATTTGATAAGAACCCCAGGTGGGTGTTGATTACTCACACTTTTATGCTATACAAATCAGGTGACGTTAGTTTAAGGTACATTAATTAATTATACTAAACTTATTTTTGATAATATTAACACGTTAGGCTGGTCGGCACTACTTTGAACAAATGAGTGATGCCATGCACGACATTGGAAGTTTTGCGATATGCTCAATTGATAAAATAATTGAGATTAATAAATTAGATAGGTACATTTCACGTTACATGACACGTTCACGAGTAAGATACCGAACTATAAGGCGGCAGTTATTCAAAGAAATATGTGTAAAATAGAATGTACGTAATTTGTGTACACTTAAAAATCTGGCAGAGTTACATAGATACTCCGTGTTGGTATCGACTTGGTAATAAACTTATTACCGGACTGTAGTAGCTTGTTCTTGAGTGGTAAATTTTTCATTACCACAACATTACTGAACGGTAATTCCCGGCTGGCACATCCAGGCCAGTAAGTATCTATTGCATACATACACTCTTAAGAAAATCAGTAAAGGCGGTATTGATATGTGACTCTACCGCCTTGGTATTGATTTGGTAATAAATTTAAAAAACTAATACCATATGGTACAAAATTTAATACTACGTAGTAATAAAATGATTACCACTTAGTATTATTTCATTACCGAATCTATACCAGGGTGGTACAACCGTTTAATACCAAAGCGGTAGAGTCACATATCAATACCGCTAATTTTTTTCAATACCGTTTTGCTAAGAGTGTACGTATGTATGCAAGTTTTTTTTTAATTTCTACGTATGCATAGGTAGAAATTAAAAAAAAAACTTGGAAGCTGGAGAAAACATTCCCGGCGAAAAAATTTAAGGGATTGTATGCAGAAACAATTTGTGCACAAAATATGCAGAATTATGAATAATTATGCAAAACCTTTCTTCGGAATATACCGGACAGAAGTTTTATGCAGAATTGTTCACACTTTTTCTGCACGAACCATTGTTACCCAGAATGTGTAGAATTATGTCAAATTATACATACGATTCTCACCCGGCTTAATAAAGGATACACAAATGAACCACAGTGCCCGATTTCCACAAACCCCGATAACTTACACAAACCCCGTTAATTTCCACAATCAACGCCAAGCTGTTGAGTCAATAGTATTGACTGATTCGGATTCAGCGTCAAAAATACATTGGAATTGATGTGCGGCTACACCAATATTTGTCCCCCATGGTCACGGAAAGGTCACGGGGGGCCTTGGAGGTAAAACCTATTAACGGTAAAAACTATCTGCAAATTTGTGCACTGAAACGAGAGTGGATTTCATAGGTCGATTTTTCTGGGTTCGATCCATCTCCAACTTGATCCGGGGTAGGCGAGGGTCCCCTGACAAAAAGAAGCACGGACAACGTACTCCGCAAAACGAGGACGATCTGCGCAAATTGAGACTCAATTTATGCCTGCATGCAACAGCTCGTCTTGAATGAAATGGATCAAATTGAAACCATGAAAATAATGAAAATATACCTATTTCAAAACGGATACCTATATTGTTTGATAAAATATACTACTATTACCCTATGCAGGGTATGCAGGAACACTGTATTATCCTAAAATTAACTTGCCAGTTTTATTAAGATTGCTCCAATTCATGCATGAAAATGAAAACAAATATTTCCTTATCATGATTCATATGACCATAGCAAACTAAACGATGTATGTATCCTAGTAATAAAAACATCACGCCAAAAAATGCCTAGAATATTTTGAAATAAAAGAATAATGAATTTAACAGTGTTAAGTATTTAAATTTTAATGAGGTCCTCTTTTCTTCAGGAATGTATTAAATAAAAAAGTAGTAAGTTTAATTTGAATACAGTTTATTGTACTAAAGTTTTGCAAAAGTAAATAATTCGTGATTTGAGGTTGTGTATGTATCGAAATACAGTTTGGGCAGTTGAGGTCACTTTATCTGTATTTCCGTGCACACGATTTACATGACTTGCCCAATCTCTCTTTTGGAAGAAGCCTTTCCTGCAGTGGGGACAGGTCCATCTCGCCACCCTTAAGTGGACTCGACTCATATGTTCTCGCATATTTCCACTATTACCGCCCTTCGTAGATATCGAGACGCCGCAGATGGCACAAATTGCAAATTTTTCGCCATTTGTGTCATTGTGTACTTTGGCGACATGTTCGTCGCGCAGGGAAATTTTCGCGAACAGTTGGGACATATTTAGCCCGAATGATGCGCCCAACTTCGAGTCGTTTATTCTTCGCAGCGATATCAATGTCGGAAGCCTGACGACATGCAGATTCTTGATGAACGCGCAAATTGTAGATGTGTTTAACCCTTTAATTCGGATGGAGGACAATTGTCGTTTTCTTGGAAATGGTTTAATTCGGGAGGAAGACAGAAGTCGTCATGAAAAATAGTGGTTAAGGTGGGAGAGGAAGACAATTGTCGTTTCTTAGAGGTCATTGATTTTCACGATTTCTCCCTACGGCGTAAAATTTTCTGCAATTTTGGGGGATTTCTCGTATACCAACCAAATGTTAAATTTGAGAATTTTCTTGTGGAAAAATGTGATATTTCCGAATATAACGCAATGTTAAATTTTGTAGAATTCATTTTTTAGAGTTTTATCAAAACTGCTGAATTCCTCCTCCCGCGCCATGACCACAGCATATGTATAATGTGCCCGGATTAATGCAATTTCTTGTAGTTAATCATACGCCTTAAAGGGTTAAAGGATTTTCCACACTGATTGTGAGAGCAAGAATGTCGTTTACCAACGATGTGGCTTAAATAGTGCCTGAAAAACAGAGTGAATTTTTGTGTGAAAAATTTTAGCAAGAAACATTAGAATTTCTGAATTTTAATATATGCACCTTTCGTAATCTTTGTGACTAACAAATTTCGTGCCACAGTGGTCACATTTTGAGCCCCCTTGACTCCAGGTCAACTTTGTCATAGGAAATTTTGCAGACTGTGACTTCATGCGAAATCAGGGATGTCGATGTTTTGAATTCTTTGCCACATTTGGAACATAGATATTTTGCGGGTGGAGGAGGAACATCTGTGCCCATCTGAATTTTAGGTTTGCGTCTTATTCGACGTTTTATTTTCTCCGGTTGATGCTCCGACGACGAGAAATAATCGAGTGGGTGTTTCCTGCTAAAACGATTATTAACAAGGATCAGTTGGATATTGATTATTAATCGATTAAATTGGGAATTTCACCTTATTGAATCTTCAAAATTAGTTTGGTCTTGGTCGAGTGCTAAAATTTGCGGTTCTGAATTGTGGTCAACTTGGTGCTGCGAAGGAATAGATTCACGAGTTTCTATAATTGGCTGAATCTCTTGATTGTGGTAAATTTCTTCCAAATTTGTGGGATAGATGACCTCGTCAAAATAAATATCGTCATCGACCTCGTCTTTGATGAGTACGTCAGGTAACGAGTCAAATTCTTCTGGGGGGAGGGGAGCTAGGGGAGAAGAGATTGATTTTCCCGTTACCGGCTCTTGAGATGATTTTCCTAAATTAAAATACATTAAATACAATTACACCATTATTATGCAAATGTTTGTCACTTATTTTCAAATTTGTCAAATATATTGATAAAGTAGCATATGCTACTTTCTCAATATATTTTAAATCGGGCACACGATATATATCATGTGCCCGATTTAAAATTACATTTTTACTGTAATAATGGCCTATTTCAGGCCATTATTACGACCCCGACCAATTTTGGATTTTCTGCGGCGAGGCGTCCCAGTGCAGAAAGAACAGGGAATCAAACTTATCGGAGGCTGTGGCGCGTTTCGGCGTCGACTGATTCATTCGTGACTGACTGACCTCTGACTCATTCCATTGGCACACAATTTTATTTAGTGGCCAAATACATTACATTCCGTGACGAAATTTCGTCCTGGTAAAGTTTTGAAAATATTATTTACTTCTCCGTTTTCTTTTGGATAATAGTAGCGTTTCCCTTCCCTTCGCGACCAGCCGGTCCAAATGGTTTTGGGTCGAGATGAGGCGTAGTCGCACCCCCCTGATCTCAGCATGTAGCAGTCTTCACAAGCTGAAACATTGGCGACAAATAGGTTGTACTTCTTGGGGGATAATTTAGCTCGAAGTGGTGGCGATATGAGGAGATCCTTGAAGAGGGTGACCTGCTCCGTGTGACGTCGACTCTATTGACCTTTCTGGATGAGGGGGGACCCTCCACAAGCGAAGCAAAAGTCATTCTTTAAAGGAGTGCCTCTGCACAGGAGCGATTCAATATTGGGGTCACGATCCAGCCGGACTTCTTGGGACGATATTTCGCCACAAGGATGTCCAGCGTTTGCCAATTCCATCTAAATAAAATAAAATAGCGTAAAATGTATACAAAAAACTAAATGTACATATGTAGGTAGGCAATTGATAGTATCAATCAAATTTGCTTAACTACACTTAAATATGGCATAATTAGACAAAATGTTTGGGTGAATTTGATAATATTTTAAAAATGATTTTGCGAAATAGTTCCTCCAAACCTAACAAAATTCGCAGTCTCACAACTTTGAACTTGCAAATATTGAGAAAAACTTACATACAAAATCTTAAGTCTTTCCACTACACTATTAAAACTTCAAGTACAAATTAAAAGGTAAATAGTGACAAAGTCTTAAAAATACTGATTATTTCACATTTTGGTTTTATGTAAACAGCAAAGTGAATGAAGAAAATAATATGTAAATGCAATGCAAGAATGTAACCATGCAGCTGACACATTTTATTACTCTACACAGTGTAAACTTTACTCTGTAACGTGTAAACACAGTGGATTCAACTTGATCTGGAGTAAACGCGAGGTCTCCCGAGCCGAACGTGGACACGGATAAAGTACTCCGCAAAACGAGCTTGGTCTCATAGTTTAATTTATTATCATGAAAATGCATTTATTTGCATACCTATGTATGAATACTTTTAATTTAAAATTATAGCAAAATATGACATATCGTAAGCAGGAGGATATTTATTACGATGGAAGCCCCACCAGCACATGTGGGGATACCCTGGCTGTAATTGGACCGAGTGCCCCCCACACGTGGCGTCCTCATGAAATTCGACACATGTGGTTGTGACACTTCCCAAAATTTGGATGGACTCCCACGGTGTCCGTGACGGAGTCGCGATGCACTCCGTCCCAGAAATTGAGTATGCACGATTGCTTCCTGCAAGGTCAATCAAGTTAATCCTTCAACGAGTATAATAAACTACAAGAAAATGTATTAATTCAGTAGTCATAGGTATATATGTATGTATGTTGAGATAGGGTTTAGGAGGAGTTAAATCAAACTCGAAACGCCTGAAAAATCAAAAAGTTAACATTGCGTTATGTTTGGAAATATCAAAATTTTTGGTAGGAAAATGTTCCAAATTTAAAATTTGGTTAGCATAGGCGAAATCCCTTAAATTCCAACAGATTTCAGGCCGCGGATTTCATTTCCCCCTCTGGGAGTGGCTGCATAGCTAACTACTTAAATTCCCACACTCCACGCTCCCGTTAATTTCCACAAACCCCGTTAACTTTCACAAACCACGTTAACTTCCACAAACCCCCTTAACTTTCACAAACCCCGTTAATTTCCACAATCAACGCCAAGCTATTGAGTCAATAGTATTGACTGATTCGGATTCAGCGTCAAAATTCATTGGAATTGATGTGCGACAACACCAATAAGCCATATTTGTCCCCCATGGTCACGGAAAGGTCACGGGGGGCCTAGGAGGTAAAAACTATTAACGGCGTTGGATTTAGCATCGAAAATACATTCGAATTGATATGTGACATCAGGAATAAGCCATATTTGAACCCTACGGTCACGGAAAGGTCACGGGGGGCTCGGAGGTAAAAACTATTGACGGCGTTGGATTCAGCGTCAAAAATACATTCTAATTGATATGCTTATCGGTGTGCGTGGAGTTCCTCAAACTCAAATAATTAATTATCAGTGTTTATCAATCACTTATCATGTGATGAGAGATGTATACAGATATATACTGCTCTGCTCACTCAATGAATTTATTTTCGTCCACCACCACCACCTCTCCACAACTTGGGCATGCAGCTTCGCATGGGCTCGCTAGGGGAGCGAGCTTGCTGCATGGCTTATGCATGGAAGCATACATATATTCAAGCTATGCACTGGTTGCATACAACTTCCTTCTTTGTCTGCTCTACCGGGGCAACTTGCATTCAATAACTGACACAGAAACCCTGGCATTTTATATAAGCGATAAGGTTCTTGTCGTCCATAAATTTTTTTCGTTATTTTTATTCTAAGTTCGCATTTGAAATTTCAAAAATTTTCCACGACACAAAGTTCCGTAGATAGGTAAATAAAATTGCCTCACCAACATTGATCCAATAGGTTTTACTGATTTCCCGGTTTAAGGCCATTTATAAAGTATTTCAACTTACGGATTTTACATAAAAGCCCTAATTCTGAAATTGTGAGATGTTCGTCAACCTGACAGTTCTGTTTGGAAATTAGAATGATTTTTCTTCTAAATTTGTGTCGTGGATTTTTTTTCTCAATTTCTAACCAGCACCATGTGATACAGCAAAATGTGTCATTTTTTGGGGGTATGACGTCACAGTTGTGACGTAGGCGATGACTCATGAAGCTCCACCTTAAATGGATAACTTCACTTTTAGTTGTGCATCACTTAGCCATAACTTTAGTTAAGTCAGTATGTTACTTTAAAATAAGTTAGGGTGGCAATGCCATCCTAACTAACTTATATGTATGCCACCGTGGCATACATATAATATGTACATCCAAGTTAGTTGTACACCTATGTATGTACCTATATTAATATTATTTTAGGGTGGAATGTTAATAGTGGAACCTGATTGAAAGCATTAAGGACATAAGAAATTCGCATGGCATAGCAATATATGTACACAGTTATCACGTTAGACTGAAATGACTTTCGTTACAGATATTTGCAAAAGCATGCATGAGCATTACACACGAATATAAATTTGAGCAGATTTAGATTTCTTACTAAGGAAGTGACCCCATAATGTTTAATTTTGAAGTACCTATATACATACACTCTTAGAAATCTGGTATTAAAATAATATCTAGTGGTATTCATTCATACATACATACATATTTGACTTTACCAAAGTGGTTTAAGTATATAATATAGTGTTCTTATATTTCGGTTTTACCATATCCGTAGTAAATATAATTTTAATACCAAGCGACAGCTGCAGCTTTATGTAATTCCTAGAAATAAATGATTGTGTGAGGATAAAAGGTTTCTGACAGGGAATAATTTTGACTAAATAGACCCCGAAGCACAAAGATAACATATCCTCAATTTCCTTTCATCATTAAAATTTATATTGATAAGTAACGTTAATCTTTATGGACACTGTGAAAGTTTCCTATCCATAGGGTTCAAATCTAATACTGAGCTGTTTGTTACTACACAGCCTATAAATTTTGGCAGTCGTGTAAATATGTATGCCGCTTGGTATTATTTTAATACTTGATTTCTAAGAGTTCACTCTCAAAAATATATAATTATAGTGCGTACTAATTAAAGTCACTTTGTAAATCGTAATACGGAAATGAAGTTTAAGGTACGCTACAATCATCGAACTGTGGGTTCTATTTTCTCGAAATAGTATGTATGCACTTATCAATTACACAGGAAGTTAGGTCAATTCCTTCGTCTATATTTGGGATAAAAGATGATTAGAACATTCCAGTTGTTATATTGACACATTCCCTGGACTGCATCAGCTCCATCACAAACAAAAGAATATAAACCATCCCTAGGAAATTTCGCTTTCCATCTTTCCGACTTAGTAATTTGTTGACAAAATAAAAATAAAGTTGCTGATAGTTGTCGAAAAAATTACATTTCCAATTTGCTCAAATTTTCAGAGTTAACTATTGCCATGGCGTTACGAAGGGAATTATTCACCGTATTCCTGGTGGCCACTTTAATCATCAATTTTCACAGCTTGGCTACCACCTCGGCATGTTTAAGCGAAAGAGGTGACCATTTTGAACAACGCGGTATTGATCCCATGGTTCCAAAGTCCGTAGACATTAAGTGTACGGGTGGCTCGCACTACTCCAAACATTTGGGTACACTCAAAATAAACTGGTGTCAATCCAGCGCGGTGTTGTCACATATAGACACCGCGCGGTGTTAATACGGCCATTAACACCGCGCGGTGTCTATATGTGACTTCACCGCGCTGGATTGACACCAGTTTATTTTGAGTGTAGATGTGTTACGTCCGAAAATTTTGGGAGAAGTTTGGTCGGCTAATTTAGAACTTTCCACTCTTTACTTTAAGTCATGCATAATCAGAAAATAAACTTTTGAAATTTGAACAAATGAAGTTTTTAATGTTTGTTATCAGAGTACTATTTTTCTATATGCATTAACCCTTTAACGAGTATCATTGACTACAAGAAAATGCATTAATTTTGGGACGTTATAAGTATGTTGTGGTCATGGTGTGGGAGAAATTCAAGACTTTTATTAAAACTCGGAAAAAAACTGAAGACTCAAAAATTTAACATTGCGTTAGATAAGGGAATATCCATATTTCTGGTAAGAAAATGTTCAAATTTAACATTTGGTTGTAGGGTTGGTAAATCAGATCCGACAATATCCGATCCGTCGGATCGGATCGGATTTGTTTATCCGGCCATTTATTATAACATGGATCCGATCCGATTAATCCGATCGGTTCGGATCGGATAGGATCGGTTCCATGTTAAAGTAAACAGACGGATAATCCGACCGGATCGGATATTATCCGATTACCAACCCTATTTGGTTGGCATAGGAGAAATCCCTGAAGTTGCAGCAAATTTTACGAACAACGAGAGAAAATCGGAACGTCGGAGAGAAAATGGTGAAAATCAATGACCTTCCAGAAACGACGCTTGTCTTCTTCCCGCACCATGACCACGATTTTTCAGGACGAGTTTTGTCTTACTCCCGAATTAAACCATTTCTCACAAAACGACAATTATCGTCTTCACATTTTAAAGGGTTAACAAAAGTAACTATTTCAAACGAACATAAAAAGTTGCTCCAAAGCAATTAAACTTTTCTTTAAAATGATATCATATGTACATATATGACAAATGTGCATTTTTTAAACCTTTGCTCTACTCCTCACTGTCATGAGGTTTTGTGTATTTAAATCCTGCAACACATTTAAAATTGCAAATAGTGAATGATCGTTTTACTAACTTAACACCTTAACCGTTGCAGAAATGCTCTAGTGACGTAACTATTTAATTGTTGTTATGTTTTTGTCCCTTGATTTTTAACAGTAGGTTTTAAGTAAATGTAGTACTTTACACTTAGGTAGGGTTTCTCCGTAAACTACGTATTTTACGATACCAAAACCACTAAGGTAAATATGAGTAAAAATCTTCTATGTAATGTAATGTATGTAATGTAAAGTAATCTTCTATGTGTGAACAATTTTGTCAAAATCAATTGAGATATGGAATCATGTTGCTTTTTAATGTGGAGTACATGAGTACATCAATGCCTATTTGCAATTTCTTCTTTTGAAGTACGCCTCTTGTTAACATTTATTCAAATTAATTCCTCTAATTTACATTATTCATGACCACGACCATTTTGTCACGCACTGGCCATACCCCCCCCCCCCTTTCGCGTTACATAATTTACGGACGACGCCTAATGCGAGATGTAGGGCTCAAAAATAAAGCTGTTAAATTGCTCGTCATTTCTGTAACATTTTATGAGAAGCAGCAAGAAAGAATAGAATATCGGCATAAAAAAATTATGAGCATTTTTGTATAACTTATTACCTAATATTATTTTTTGTATAACAAAATTTGTCCCAAATTGTACATCTGCATATCTAATCAAGTATATATGACAAGAAGTCGACAATTACAAAAAAATGTGGACAACAGAATCAGAATTATTTTATGAAGTTATAATTATACTTATTTGTAATAATTACACCCCCCAGAATTAAATATTACAGTAATTAGATAAATGTGTATGTATAAACTTTTCTTATAACACATCACATGACACTGGAGCTGTAAAGATTAAATCAGGACCACAGATTATGGTATTAATCTTAATTGATCACGACGGAATGGAGAGAGGGACTGTCTTCTTCAAACTTACAGCTTTCGCACTGCATGTGCTTAAACGTGGAATGATTTGCCTTCATCTGTAATAATAAACACACAATTTAATTAGTTAAAAAAATTGAGTTTAAAAAATTGAAGAAATACATAAATTAGCATGGTTTTCGGTAGAAATTGTCATTCATGCGTGAGTTTATTTTTTTAGTTACCCGTTTCAATTGTTCTTTCGCCTTTGTAGATTCTTTAAAGTGTGTCCCCTGAAATAAAGATGGTCAAATTTTATATATAGGAGTATGTATGCATTTATTTTAAGAGCTGGAAATGCTTAACCCTTTAATCTGTAATGACGACAATTGTCGTTTTGTAAGAAATGGTTTACTTCGGGAGTACGACAAAAGTCGTCCTGAAAAATCGTGGTCATGGTGCGGGAAGAAGACAATTGTCGTTTCTGAGAGGTCATTGATTTTCACAATTTGCTCGCCTCGGAGTAAAATCTGTTGAAATTTGAGGGATTTCTCCTATGCCAACCAGATGTTAAATTTGAAGTTGATATTTATCTATCTAACGCAATGTTAAATTTTTGAGTTTTCAGTTTTTTTCGAGTTTTACTAAAACTCTTGAATTTCTCATCCCACACCATGACCACAACATACTCATAACGTCCCCGAATTAATGCGTTTTCTTGTAGTCAATGATACTCGTTAAAGGGTTACATCATTTCTCAAGTACCTTAAGTGGAGGGTCGTGAGAACCCGTTAAGTTGTCTCTGGTCACGCCAAAATAGTACACCAAAAAATCCCGTCCTTCTTTAAACCTCTTTCGTGAGAAGTCGTCCGCGGGTTTAACAAATTTCGCGTGATCTTCAATATCCGCCTCGTTCGTTCCTTTAACTCTGACTTGGATCTGAATTCCTTCGCAATTTTGTAAATGTCGAACAAATCTGTGTGCTCGGAGTCCATACGGTGTTTGCTTTTTATAATAGTCGAAATTATCTGTGAAGACGATCACTTTGGAAGAATTCTGGGGGAGCTCATTCTTCCATAAGTAGAGAGCAAAAATTAAGTTTTTCATTTCAAATTCGGCCGGATTTCCTGCCTTGTTTTGTATCGGGGTTAGGGTCCAGGGTAACTTGTCGACAGGAAAAGAATAGAATTCTCCCCTTTTTTGCGCTAGATTTATGAAATAACCTCCAATATTGTGTGGTGTGGCGTCTACTCCGATTATTATATTACTTTCCTCAACCGATATGGCAAGATTTAGTTCCTTATCTAGGACGAGATCATTTTGAATTTTTCTTAAAATCTCGTTTCCCGTCGATTTCTTGGCTTCATACGCCTGTTGCACGATACTGTCGAAAGAATCAGAGTCCGAGTCGGATTCGTAGGAATCCTTCATATGCTCGTGGTCATAGTACGCCGTATTAAATCTGTAACGAATTAAACATATTTCCATTTTTAGTTAAAATAACTATTGTCAAGGCTCGAAGACGTAGAATTTTTCAAGATTTTAAAATTTGAATAATGCTACTGAATTGTATTTTCGTACAATTGCTGAGATACGCCGGCATATTGTGCATATATGTACGTGAAATTGCGAATTAGACATCATCAGAGACTTGGGATTAATGAAGGTGGGATTAGGGATTAGGATTAGGGATTGATTTTTAAAAATTCGGGATTGAGGATTGAGATTAGGGATTAATTAAACTCGGGATTAAAATTAATTTGGGATTAAATCTCTCGAGTTATTCAATGATGGAGCTGAATTAAACCCATTTTAATCCCTGACTTGGATTAAGATTAATAAAAGGGTTCCGGGATTTGGATTGAGGATTAATTATTTCTTCTTGGAATTGAGGATTAGGGATTAAAAGTAAAAAATTACGGATTGAGGATTGAGATTAAGGATTAATTAATCCCCAATCCCAATCTCAATCCATAATCCCGGATTAACCAGGCTCTGCACATCATATGTATTCCTGAATAGTAAAGGCACATGTGAATATTTCAGTTAGATAAATACCCGGTTTAAGACATACATTTGAACCCTTAACTCTACCAGCTCGTTAACCGCGTCGAACCTTTGCGGTGATGGTCGACCGCGTACGATAGGTTCAGAAACTTGCATGTGTCCCCACCCATCCATACGAAAAGGATCATCTTCAGAAGTTCCTCTTGAAAATTGGCTATAAATACATAAATAGAAATAAAATCCGAAAATATATGCACAAGATATTCTGAAGTACTTATTTCGTGTAAATGTTTCATGTAGTAATTTTCACGTAATAATTTTAGCAATCAATGGAATTAAAACTTTAGACTTTGAAATCATCTAACGACTGTTTGAACTCCTTTTTACCCTGTCTGATCTTACCGCCACAGGCAAGGAACATAAGAATCCCAGGTTATTTTCGGGTGGCGGTAAGGTCACATACACTCTTAGAGAACTGGTATTAAATCATTACCGGCCGGTGTACATATGTGACTCTACCAGCATCGGTAATAACGGGAATTACCGTTCAGTAATGTTGCGGTAATGAAAACTTTACCACTCAGGAACAAGTTACTACCAATCCGGTAATAAGTTTATTACCAGTCAATACCAGCACGGAGTATCTATGTGACTCTACCAGATTTTTAACAGTGTATGTGAAACGTAGTTTACCTGGTAAACTTAACCAATCGATTAGCGTATTGACTTACCTTTGAGCTGAGGAACCACCTCTCGCAGGCGCAACTTGCGTGAGTTTCATTACATTTGCGTAGCTAGGGTGTTCGTAATTTCGTCTTGAAGAATCGCTACAATATATAATATGCTTCACGTATTTATATGCATGTACGTACATATCAGTACATTTAACCCTTTAATCTGTAATGACGACAATTGTCGTTTTGTAAGAAATGGTTTAATTCGGGAGTACGACAAAAGTCGTCCTGAAAAATCGTGGTCATGGTGCGGGAAGAAGACAATTGTTGTTTCTGGAAAGTCTGTGATTTTCACAATTTTCTCGCCTCGGAGTAAAATCTGTTGAAATTTGTGGGATTTCTCCTATGCCAACCAGATGTTAAATTTGAACATTTTCTTACCGAAAATGTGGATATTTCCCTACCTAACGCAATGTTAAATTTTGGAATTTTTAGTTTTTTCGAGTTTTATTAAAACTCTTGAATTTCTCCTCCCATGCCATGACCACAACATACTCATAACGTCCCCGAATTAATGCATTTTCTTGTAGTCAATGATACTCGTTGAAGGGTTAAATAGTTCGGAAACAAAAACATTTTCGAAATCATGATATGAATCCAAAATATGAACTCATTCGTCAACCGATCTCCGCTACAATTACCTCTGCTGCCGTGTTGAACTTGGTAATTCACGCCCATGTTCCAATCCAGACAGGGGGGAAATATCTTGATAAACTCTTCGAGCCTCCGGAACGTGGGAACGATGAGTGCCACTGATTTCTTGTGAACTATTAGTACTAAAAACATCTTGATAAACACTTCTGCACCCCGGACGATGAATATCTTGGAGTTGTTGTGACCTGCGTTTCCAGCGACGGTAAAAATACCCAAATATTAGGCCAATAACCACCAGGACGGCGATTAGTATGGTTAATATGATAACAACTGTTTCGTCGTCCATATTTTGCGACGATCTGTTTGAAAATTGGAAATAAGAGTTCTATGTAATAAATATTTGTACATAAAGGATTTTCGCATCAAGAACTATTTACCGTTTCTTCATACACGTTCTTACAATGCGATGACGCGAGCCGTCTGGCTCCGATTTTGACGAAACGCAACCTTTGAGAAATAATTCAATGTGTGTTTGAGGATTTTTCATAACGCTCAGTTTTAACGAAGTTATGATGGAAAACGTGAGCGAAAATTTGTATTTTCACTGTGAAATTCGTCTTACAAGGGAGAAAACAGCAAATTCTTGTAACATGAACATTCCAAGAGTGCAAAAATATCGCATTGGTCTGGAGATGAACTCCAAACCTCAACGTCCGACACCGAGGTTGTCACCACTGTGACATACCAACCATTCATTTATATCTCTCTTGTAATGTCCTGTTCGTGAATTCGTTATTAAATCAACTTACATACACGATCTCAACTCACTACTAATGGATATACCTGTGAAGCTACTATCCCATAGATATTGGGTATAGTGCACTCAGGTTACATTCTTAAATATGGATCGCACCATAATTTCGTTTAAACTGAGCATCACGTATAATCCAGAAACACATGTTGAATTATTTTTCTAAGGCCACATAGTTATTGTGTTTTCGTCAAAATCGGAGCGAGACCGCTGGTGTCATCGAATTGTTAGTATCCTAAAATAGTTTACGAAAGGAAAAACCTTACGAAAGGAAAAGGGGTCCGGTCAGGCTTCGTAAAAATGGGAAGCTAACAATGCGATGGTGTGAAGTGTAAATTTCAGAATTGTTTGAAATTTTAAAATTATGTGGTCCAAGTCAATACAAGCAACGTTTCTTGACGCAGTTTGTGGTCGGAATTCGTCAAAATATTCGAGGTCAAAGTTTAAAAATGGGTGATTTTTCCCTTTGAAGTTAATGGGAGTGAGGTAAAAATCATCCATTTTTTTCAATTTTGACCTCAATTATTTTGACAAATTGTGACCATCGCACAAAGTGCCTCAAGAAACGTTGCTTATATTGACTTGGACCACATAATTTCAAAATTTCAAACAATTCGGAGGGTTACACTTAACACCATCGCATTGTAAGTAGTGCGATTTTTGACGACAAAATCTTACTCTGCTTAGAAAATCTCGTAACTTATTTTACGATATCAAGAAGGCTAAGGGTACGAAAAATAAAAAGAATTGTCGATTTGTGATTTTACCTGTGCAGAATCGGGTAGTTCTCGAGCCTATTATTTCCCGATAGTCCGGAGCAACTGGTTCTATCTTACTGAACAGAGCACTTACTGTCTCGTTGTAAAATTTGACGCATAATATTTTACAAGTGTTTATATTGCAATAAATCAATAGGATGAGTATATGCATACGAATGAGTGAGGACACTTGAGACACCGTGTCCGAATAATGGGAAACAGTTTTATCGATAAGATAACACCGTATAGTCGATCAGCCAACAGATATGCACATATTTACTTACGATAAATAATTAATTACTTGGTGACCTTAACCTTACGGTACGACAAAATATGTATATTAAATTTATATTTAGATATCCAGTTATAAATGCAAAATATGTATTTAGATTTCAATTTGTATTTTCAAATGTTTATCTACATACAGACTTGTGAATTCAATTTATATGTAGCACTTTTTATATCAAGGTTGAAGGTGTTTATTCCACTAATATTTTGTGAGGGTTTTGTTCACCTCGTAATTCTTGCAAACTCGAAATTTCCTTCACTTAGAAAAAAATTTTTGACTAAAAAAATTGGGATGCAAGAATGTATAAGGTGGGAAGGTCGGCAGATATATGTATACATATATACGTAAACATGTATCTATGTAAATATGTACAACACTACAATCATTCAGGCTTGGACAGTCAAATTCAGTGGCCGCGGAAGCGTGGGGACATAGGGTCAATGTCCCCACGGAAATGCGTGGGGACATGCAATGCATTTGTCCCCACGGTGTCGTGGGGCATAGACAATTTAAAAGACACAATTTCAACATAATTGATTAAATTCATAACTAGTGCCATTTAAATATGCAATTTATTTCGGAACAATCAGCTGGATTTTGATGTTCCTAAATTTTCTCAAATTTTAATGAAAATTTTGTATTTAAAAATGCTGGATTTTTTTTTCACAAAATTTCTCCATGCACAACACGAGCTTGGAAAATAAATATGTCCCCACGGTCCAAATTATCTTCCGCGGCCACTGGTCAAATTTAAAATAGCTGCTGACTAGAAATATGTAAGTTGCAACATAATTTGTCAGCATGCAAAGATACATAAATAAATACATGTATGAAATTGTATGTATGTATCCAAAGCATGCATACGTTTGTATGATTGATTTTGAAAGAATCGTGACCACCGACCCCTTGAAATTGCACTTGCATATCTATTTATTTATTTAAATTCATTTCTACCTACATACACAGAGGATGCATTGGACCGTCTGCTCGATTTATACACTCTTAGAAAACTGGTATTAAATCAGTACCGGCCGGAGTACATATGTGACTCTACCGGTATCGGTAATAACGGGAATTACCGTTCAGTAATGTTGCGGTAATGAAAACTTTACCACTCAGGAACAAGTTACTACCAATCCGGTAAGAAGTTATTACCAAATCAATACCAGCACGGAGTATCTATGTGACCTTAGCAGATTTTTAACAGTGTATGTACGTTCTATATGTATATGTGTGGATACTTTATACTTTGTACATATTTATACAAAGAAAACCAGAAGTAATAATAGTGTAATGTAATAACCATACCCGGGAAAAATATTTGTTTATCAATCCCTACTCATGACGAGTAGGGTAGGATACGAAAATATTTGACCGGGGTCTGGTAATATCGCAATTATCACATTTATTTATGTATGTATGCATTTACGCAAAACTGTTGGGATTTGGTTACAAAACTGCATAGATATGTATTTGTGCACTGGGAACAGCACGTATTTATCGATGTATGTACATACAATAAAACTTGTAATACTTTTCTTTTTCTCACATTTTGCTGATAGATAAAGAAAAATCCGTTGCTCCTAACTAATTTCCGAGCTCGTTCGACAGGCTTAAATTCCTCGACAGGCTGACCTTATCGAGCTCGCGGCTACCGCACTGTTCAACGTGACCCTAAATAGTTTACATCTCTATCACTCGAGCAGCTTACCCGGCCGAATCGACAACACACCGTGTCCGGCAGTGGCGCCGGTCTCGGTGGGTACGAGTCCGTCGTAGAATTCTGCCCCATTTTCAAAACCATGGCGGAAGAGTGGACCCGAATCCAGGACAAGATGTTAGCCGTCATGCAGCAGAGAGAAGCCGAATCCGCAAAACGGGAGGGGCTTGACCACACGACGAGCTTTAGCAGAATAGACTGCTCAAGATGAATGGTGGTGGTGGTGGTGGTGGGAAAATCTTGTTTGATCAATCCTGCACGCTCACGCTCGCCTATAACACTTTGTGTCGTGTGATGACATGCTCGCGTGCTAAGTGTGCGAAAGGGCTGTTTACCGCCTCACCTTTTCCCAACTTGAGCAGTCTATTCTGCTATAACTCGTCGTGTGGGGCTTGACAGACAGGAAAAATTATTGCAAAAACATGTCGATCTCGAACAGACGAGGCATGATACGGCCAACGCGTTAGCGGAGATGGAGGAAACCCAACTGAAAGCCCAAAACTTGGCCAATTTGGAAGCAATTCGAAAGGCACAATTGCAAGCGAATTGGAAAACGAGAGGTTTATTCAGAGCAAATATGAGCGGTGGAAGAGACGCGATGGTGTCTGATTTCTTATGGGGAGATGATTACTCTGGGGAAGGTTTAGGATGGTTGAAAAATATTTACAAAACTTGTTAAACATTGGGATGAATATTTCATCGAAATTGGTTTTATCAATTGTGTAAGTATTATTTTACAGTTCAAAAAAGAAACAAAATAAACCCATCCCCATAATATGACCATAAGAATTACTTTTTTTTAATTTTTGGCTTGTTTAGTACAGTGTTTATCAATAAATCAGTCCTTGAAAGCTTATAATGCCCGCTCGAAATTTTCTCAAATAGCTACAAAATTTCGGGTATCAAAGCCGAAATTTGCAATTTTCTGTAAAATCCTCACAAGGAATCATTATGGGTAAACTGATTGTTTTTAAATTTTCTCACACATAATTTGATATGAAAATCTTAACGTTTGGCCTAAAGTCATAAAATGAACTAAAAAAGCCCGAAATATGATGGAGAATATGAATATGTCCCAAAACCCAAAAATATTACAGATATGAGAAAATCATAAAGTCATATTGCATTCATATCCAATGTATGGTCATTAGTTGCAAAATTCTCAACGTGGTTTGCGGAATATCCTCCACACTTTCGAAGCCTACATATTCGTATCCATTCAGGAGAAAATGCGCAGCAAATTTGAAAAGTGTAATATTTGAGATTATTTGTCAATATTTGGGTTCGTTTTCTCCTTTGTGAATGCAAATATCGCTTCCAAGCCTGGGAAATTGTAAATACCTAGTTGCGTTTTCAAATTTCGAGTTACTTAAATTTGTGATAAATTGAAACTAGTTTTGTCAAAATCTATATAGGAGCATACCCTGGTGACCTTCATTCTTCGTATTAGTGTATGAACTAAAATGTTAGAATTAGTCATTTGGAATTCTAAAATCATGGCACACATGTATGTAGATACATATTTCTAGCCATAATAGATATCTATGTATGTGTAGACATGTCCTATTCAGTGCAAAAAGAAGCATGTTTCAGGAAATCATGTACATATGTAATTATGCACATGGTTTCCCAAGTTGGAAAAATTAAGCGGAAACATGAGTCAACTCGACTTGTATGTACGTCATCAAAGGTTAATTCATTTAAATACATACGAAGTGTATCTACGTTTTTCTGCATGTACTTACATTACATAAAATTAAAGTTTTAGTAAGTCACGTCACGAGATTAATACGCAAATAAAGATCGCCCGAGCGTCACATCCCGTGCCAGGTTAATCATCAATCTCGCTGATACCCTTCATTGTGTTAAATTTTGGGTTGATTTTTACCCAAAAAATCTCCACTGTCATATTTCACAAACTGATATCGTTGACCAACAATTATACCAACCCACCTTAATGTGCTCATTTTTTAGGCCTGCGGTGGGGCTGACGATGTCGTGTCACCTAAACCTTTCCGCGACGATGTCAACTATGATTGTCAACAGTATGAGTTGCCATGAGTGGATCTGTCTCGATCTATATAGATCGAGACAGCCACGAGACGTCGGTCTGGCCGGTATATCGGCCAGACCGACGTCAAAAGCCATTCCCTGCCGGATTTAATTTGTTAAGATTTTGAAGTTCTTTCCAAATTGACCAATCCGTGGATAAAAAAGCATGGACATATTCCACTGTAAAATATTTAGTACCGAAGAAAATTGATAATCATGACAGATTAGGAAATATTTATCTATTCCATGGGAAAAAGTGAAACTGAACCAATTTAGACTATTTTAGGGTCAGAGTTTATTTTGTGATATAAAATAAATCTGATAATCACGAAACTCATTATTTCTCCGTAGATTTATATGTATTTGTGCATATCACGTGGCGTGTAATACATATGTACACCACAAAATAAAATATATAAATATGTACGCCGGGTATTTTATTTTGCCGCATAATTTCGCTTACCATATTTTGATCAAACTTGAGAATGGCGAAACTTTATTATTATTTTATTGTGCGTGTTTTGAGAAATAATTTGTGCATATTTTATTTTGCTCGTCATAATTTTATAAAATTTGATAAGGGAATGTCCATACATTATGTCATCATTTTAGTGAATGGGTGGTTTAGATCTTCCTATCCCTCCCACGTCTGATTTCCCTATCTCTCAATGCTTACGTTGGATGGATGAGTGCTAAAAAAGAGAACTTGAAGACGTAATATATGGATAAGAACCAAATGTTAATACTTTTCTCTTCCAATTAAAATTCCTCAAAATTACCAATGTTATATATAACTCACAATGGAACCTATTTTCAAAATACACTGGGATTTTCTAGCGAGTTATATTAAAAAATTATGCCAAAAATCAGGAATCACATGACGGTAATTTCTCCGTTGAATGGCCCCTTGGAAGAAAAAATATTGGCCCCAAAGTTCTATTTTGGAGTTAGTTTTCTCTCGCTTTTTCTTCCACGGGGCAACGACCAGGGCGAATGCGTGACTTTGCCAAATAATATTTCTTGGGTCATTCAACAGAAAGATAAGTG